TTATCCATTCATCTGTTAATAGACATAGGGTTTTTCCATATCTTGGCTGTTGTGATAGTGTTGCTATGAATATGGGAGGGCAGATGTCTCTCCGATATTGTTTTCACTTCCTAGAAATGGGATACCTGGTAGTTCCATTTTTATTTTTCGAGGCACATCCATATTGTTTTCCGTAGACGCTACACCAGTTTACACTCTTACGAACAGTGCACAGATTTCCTCTTCACATCCTCATCGACACTGTTACCTCTTCTCTTTCTGATGATGGCCATTCTGACAGGTGTGAGGTGATAGCTCATTGTGGGTTTGATTTGCTTTTCCCTGATGGTTTGTGAGGCTGAGTATTCCTTCGTGTACTTTGGTCATTTATATGTCTTCTTTGAGAAAACGTCTATTCAGATCCTTTGCCCATTTTCGATCAGATTATTTGCTTTTTGCTATTGAGTTGTATGAGTTCCTTATATATGTTGGATATTAACTCCCCATCTGATATATGGTTTGCAAATATTTTCTCCCATTCCTTAGGTTGCCTCCCATTCCATAGGTTTCATTTTACTGATTTTTTTTTTTTTTTTACTGTGCAGAAGCTTTTTTGTTTGATGTAGTCCTTCTTATTTATTTTTGCTTTAGTTTCTTGTGCTTTTGGCGTCATATTCAAAAAACTGTGGCCAAGACCAATGTCAATGGTTTTTTTCCTATGTTTTCTTCTAGAGATTTTATGGTTTCAGGTCTTACATTTAAGTCTTTAATCAATTTCGAGTTAATTTTTCGAGAGTTGTAAGTCAGGGGTCCAATTTCACTCTTTTGCATGTGAATATCCAGTTCTCCTAACACTGTTTACTAAGAAACTATTATTTTCTCTTTGAGTATTCTTGGATCACTTGTCAAATATTAGTTGATTGTATATGCGTGGGTTTGTTTTACTTTTAAAATAAAAGGAAAAATGCTGTTTACAAAGGGATCTCAATTTGTGGACACATTTTCTAGAAGTTCAGTTATTGAACCGATTTATTCATTATTTCTTCAAGTGTTTTCCATGGCTAGTTTAGCAAGAACAAAGGGTTCTATCCCCTACCCCCACCCCCCAAAAAAACCTTACAAAACGTTATATACTACATTCCTGCCTACAGATTCAAACTACACATTAGCATAAAGGTTATGAAATCTATAGTGTCGCTATGTAATTTTCTAAATTATGTGCTTAAACAACTAAAAACCTGTTACTTTGTAGCCCCTACAGAAAAAAAATAAAAATAAACAGGATGGAACGTCCTTTACAATTAACATCATGGACAGATCTGTTCAAGATTAACAATATTTCCAGAGCTTTGATTTTCTAACTCCAAAGAAGCATAATGGTGAAAAAAATACATGTTTTAGCACATGTTGTATATAAATTTGCAAAATTCAATGCAATCTTTCAAAGCATTTTGTATGAGAAGGGACTGCTGGTGTGTTTGTTTTCTTTTTGAAGTTTGAAAATGTTCTAAATTTAGATCATGGCATACATTGAGTTTTTTATTTTAAATTGGGCAATTTTACACTGTATAAATTAAATCTCAATAAAGCCGTTTTAAAAAATGTAATTTTATAAAGCTACGACACACATAGGTCAGTCTCAGCCAAAATAACCAAATTCATTGAAAAGCAGTGGGGCAGTGGGTGAAGGATGAATCATTCGATATAAGGTGTTGAAATATAAAATTGGATCCCTATTTCACACTTTTTATATCAGAAAAATTCTAATGGGTCAAATTTTAAATGTGAACAAATGGAACAATAAAAGAACGGAAATAAAAATGAAATAATTCTCTTCAGTATCTTGAAGTACAGAAGGGCTTTTCAACACAATAAATTGAACCTCAGAAGTCTGGTTTCATGATAGAAATATTCAAAAATACATGAACAGAGCAAAAAACGCAAACTAGGAAAAGGTTTTTACCGCTCGTGTCATAAATAATGTGCTAAGAATATGTATATGGAGATATTCATTGCACTATTGTTTATAATAGCACAAAAATGAAAATATCCCAAATATCCATCAGTAGGAGACTGGTTAAATACAACGAATATTCTATAGCCACTAAAAAAAAAAAAAAAAATGAGACAACTCTCTATTATACTGATAACAAAAGGATCTCTAAGCTATGTGAAAAAGCAGAAAGTCACACGTAGTAATGCCAACACACAAGAAACTAGCAACAGTGATTGCTTCTGGAAAAGAAAATTGTATGTCTGGAAGACTAGGCAGAAGAAATTTACCTTTCATTAAATATTCTTTTTTTTTTTTAAATTTTATGAATGTGCATGTTCTATCTTTACAAAAAATAAACACTTAAAATATTTTTAAATGTGATAGACTAGACAAAATTAAAGCAACTTAAGTTTTTTATTTATATTTCTCAAACACTGAGAAAGGGACAAATAGACCCCAGGAATATTTTTTTTAAATCCTCTATATCCTCATTCGCTTGTAATTCTCTTTATTTCTCATATCTCATTCTCTTTATTTTTTTCCCCCAAAACTCACACCTTCCCTTGCTAAAAACAACAACATCAACAACTTCTCCTCTGCCCCCAGCCTGAGTTGGGGTTTGTAGTTGGAGATATCAATGACCTAAATGGATAATCATTTTGTGTGCCTTTCAAAAGATTCTAACTGGAAATGCTTTCAGGGTTTACACTTCTGTACAGACAATATTCTTGTGCACTTGTCAATGCGAGGCAAACCATTTGTTCAATTAATGCATTTGTTTCAGACATTTTAATTTAATCCTTCTCTGAGCACTTTGTTGCCTGGCTACCAGAAATGTTAATATCCTTTCTTCCAAGTACATCTTTAAAATTTCTCTTTCCACCCCCCACCATAACCTAGACCCTTACCAAACACTTCTTCATAGACTGATCCCTGATGACTGGTTTGCTTGCGCTTTCGGAATCTCCATCACAGTGTCTGAGATGTCACTGCTCAAAGCAACTTCTTTCCAGATAATTTTAAGTCCCTCTTAGAACCAACTCCTGGCCTCAGCTATACCATCCCATCCTGTGTCCGGTTAAAAGCCTTTTAATGACTATCTTCCATGGGCAGGTTTTCCTCTTTCAAATCCCTTCTCAAAGCCTCCTCTAATCAGTTTTTTTAAAGAAAGAAGGACTAGCAAGATTATCATTGCATCTTGCTTAAACTGTGATGGAAGTACGAATACAAGGCTCTTTCCACTTCCTTCATCTGAGGCGCATTTGAAAAAAGCTGGTATTTTTCTCAGATCTACTAGGCTTTCAGAAAGTGCCTTAATCGCAGTTGAACAATAAGATCAGTAATTCTGAGTGTGTGCTGTATGACAAATCAAGCAGACAGAGCATGACAGAGATGTTCTCCTTGATTTTGTGGGGGAGGCCCCACTGATAATATGAAGATCAAGGATATGGAGCCTATATTTGGATAAGTTGCGTCAGTAGTTTCTCACTAATAAGATTTCTAGGAATCAGACCTGTTTTGTACCACATGTGCACACTGTTTTTCTCCGTTTGTCATTCCATTATGCTCTGGCAAATTTCTGGGTCTCATTCCAAGATGTTGCAATTTTCCCATGGGTACCATAAAAGTGGTACAGCATTCCTGATTAATTTTCTGATGTGGCTGTCAAAAAAAACAAATAAACTTTATCCAATTGCTTTCCCACATTTTATAATTATCTCCTTGGGGTAAGTATATGCCAGGCATCTAGATCAAGCGCTGCATAGCTTTCTCATTAAAGCACAGATCCAGCTCTTCAAAAACTACTCATTTAAACCACCCCGGAACCTCGTGTATACATTCTCCCATCCAAGACTCTGCTTATTCTAAGGACCATTTAGCATAGAAAATCAGGTGTCCCCGGCCTACACAGCCCACCCCTCAGCTTATATGCCAAATGTCATGCTAATAAATGATCCATCATTCTCAGCTGCCGGGCTTTATGAACGGGAAAAAAACAAGTCCCTATTAGATCATAGATGAAGATACCTGTTGCCTGCTTCACTCAGAGCACGTGGCGCTTTGCATGGTTTAATTTCACTCAGCTCTTTAATTGAGCCCCAGTGCTAAGGGCTTAATGGGACACCATGGCATGATATCCTGCAGATTTTAAATGAAAGTTTGAGACCATCCCTCCCCTACCCCCCCTACCCCCTCCCCAGTACATGCACAGTACTTCAACTAGCGCTAATTGGCATTACATGTGATTATGAAGTGAAAAACATGGTTTTTCTGAAAACACCACCCCCTGTCTCCTACTTTAAAAAGCCTAGAAATTCTAAGAAAACAACCATGGATGCATGCAAAGATTAGATATAAAGATATCTATCATGGTCTTTATATTAGCAGAAAACTGGAAACGAAGGTCTATAGTGAGGAATTGTATACATAAAAGATAGTGCAAAAACTTTTTTAATGTTATGAAGACTTTTTTGACATGAGAAGATGCTCCTGCTATATTGTGAAGTGAAAAAAGTTGAAGAATTGCAGGAATCAGATGATACCACTTTTCCCTGTAGCACAGGATAAAAAAGACTGGAAAGATACATATATCAAATGTAAAGAGTTATTATCTCCAGGTGTTGAGAATACTGTTGACGTTTATCTTACTCATTTGCATCCTTAATTTTCAAAAAAAAAAAAAAAAAGCATTTCTTTGGCAAAAAGAAAACATTATTTATCAAAGTCCATCATTGACTCCTGCAGAAAATATGCAACAAAGGGATTGATTTTGAAATTCTTTTCATCGAGCCTTCATCTCCGCCAACCCTTTTGTGGGGCACTGAGAACTCTCTATCACTAATACATCAATAGTTTCCAATGGAATTATAAGGGTGAACAAGGGTTGTTTTTTTTGTTGGTTTTTTTTTACGCGAATGAAGAGGTGAGTACTGGAATGAATTTCTGCAAACGTCCATTCTCGTGTTCAATTATACCAAAACCGCCTCCTGAGAGGGTACATTATGTCTGTGTCTTTTTCTTGCAGAGCCAAAGATGTTTGTCTTGCTCTATGTTACGAGTTTTGCCATTTGTGCAAGTGGACAACCTCGGGGTAATCAGTTCAAAGGAGAGAGCTACTCCCCGAGATATATCTGTAGCATTCCTGGCTTACCTGGACCTCCAGGACCCCCTGGAGCAAATGGTTCCCCTGGGCCCCATGGTCGCATCGGCCTTCCGGGACGAGATGGGAGAGACGGCAGGAAAGGAGAGAAAGGTGAAAAGGGGGCTGCAGGTAATGAATTGATAGAGTTCCGTAAAGCACCCCCACCTGAAAACTACTCCCTATCTCTGCTGCTTTTCCCAATGGGACTTGCTCCTTAAACCCCTTCTCTACTTCACCTTCATTAATCATAACTATTTACCGTGTCTTGCACCTTGACTATGCTTCAGATACTGCTCTAAACCCTTTCTGTGGCTTCCTATTTTATCGTAATGACAACTCTTTCAGGTGGAAGTTATTACATTTCATAGATGAAAACACTGAGCAACACCACGAATAAATGAATTGCTGAAGATGGAAGTGCTCGTGGCTGGCAGAGCTCGAGTCCAACATCTGATGTCCGTGACCACTGGGCTGTTACAGCCAGTGGGCAATGGCTGGATGTGACAGGGTGCAGATGGGTGGACAGACAGATGGGCAGGAAGGAAGATGAAGTAGAGGTAGAATTAGGAGCCAAAAGCACAGGTGCCATCCTGCTCTGCACTAATAACCTGCACAAAGACACATAACGGGCTTCTAGATTTTATTTTTCACAGATGAAATGACAACGGTGCTGTTTGTCACATTCTCACCTGTCCTATAGCAACAAAAAAATAGATTTCTTATAGCTCTTTACAGCAACTCAATTGTCCCCTAATCCTTCAGTAATTTTCACTTTTTCTCACAAATAAGTTGACCCAGGAAGCTTGCCAGGTTCTGCAATCCTTCAGAGTAAAACGAATTAAAATTCTGGAGAGGCCATGTTATCTCTAAAAGAGGAAGTGATTTGGAATCAATCTTTGAAAACAAGTTTCTGAGTGTAAAAGTTAGGACAAAAAACAGAAAGAAAATATTAATAGATCTAAGAAATGTGTCTCTATCTAGTCATTGCACCTGATTTAGTGGTGCTATGTGAAATAATAGTATAGTATATATTCAAATTATTGGCTAATAATTCATTTCTGAATTTGTCATGCAGGAAATATCTGGCAAATCAGCAGCTACTAAATTTATGAATATTATTCTATATCAGGTAAAGAATCTTTAGGTAAAGTTTAACATCAGATTTTTAAAAACCTTTAATTTGGAGCTTAAATCTTATTTTTCAAACTCTTTTATATGGCAACACCAATAAACACAATTTACTGCTGTATCACGATCATGTATATCCTTGAAATCCTGTAATATACCAGGATCAAAGTTAGGTATTATTAGCTCTTTTATTTTAATGTCTGGAAGCAATAGTACAGTGACTAGACAAACATGCATTGGAGTCAGAAAGACTTAGGCTAAAATCTTGGCTCCTTCAGTTACTAAGTTAGCATCCTTGGGCAAATAGCCTCTTCAAGCCTCACTTGCCTCATTTGTAAATAAGGAGCGGTGAGGATGATTGTGAAGAATAAGGACAATAATACAAGTAAAACACTCAATAGAATAAGTGCCATGTGGTTAGCATTTAGTATATGTTAGCTGTTATTACATATTAATTATATTATGATCTGCAAATATGAGTCATAGCTAAGTTCATGAATATTCAAAGCTATATAATAAACTAGAAATGAGTTGTCTGTTTTATGAGGTAGTTCTAGTGTTATTTAAAGATATGTTTATGGATACGCATTCATATTAAATCAAATGTTCATAATTGCTACAATTTTAACCATGTATGAGGCCAGCTACACCCCCATATTCATCCATCCAGTCTTGCATCACTCATTCAACAAGTTTTGGCACCTAATGCTATCCAGGATTGTTCTAGACCAGGGTTTTACAATCTCCACATTCATGACATTTGGGGCCGACGGTGGGATGACTGTCCCATACATTTAGGACATTCAGCAGCATCCCATAGATGCCAGTGACATCTCCCACCAATGTGATAACCATATATATCTCCAGACATTGCCATCTCTCCCCTGGTGGAGAGTGCAAAATTGCCCCTGTTTGAGAACATGGTTCTAAAAACTGAGAAGACAAACACGAACATGACATTGTCCTTGCCTTGAGAAGCAAACATTTGGGTGAGGGAGGCCAGTATAGAAAAACACAATCACAATGTCGTCATCATCATCATCATCATCATCGTCGTCGTCATCGTCATACCATTTATTAAGAATTTACTAAGTGTCAGGAACTTTACCTTTAACGCTTATCACCCACTATAACCCTATAAGCAATTATTATAATCAGTAATAATAATAATAATGTTACGAGTGAAAAAATTTAGATTCAAAAATGAAATTACGTTCCCAACCTGAGATGATTTAAGTCCGATAACCACATATCCACATAAGCATGTATTACAACTAAGAAAGGAAAAGTAAAAATCCCTTTGCGATTGATATAGAGAAGCACACCTCACTTACAAACAACAGGGACAGAGCTCTGAGGCTCTGGGGACATACTTTTGGTGTTGCTGGAACAGATCACAGCATGGCTGGGAGCTTGTTTCCTCTTTCTGTTTAAGTGACACAACAAAGGTTTTGTTCGTGGGCACTTGATGAATATCCCCACCCCACCACATGCAGACACTCCAACCAAGTGCAGGCAGAATCAAGCATATGTTTTCATCCAATTTCCCTATCCTAAACACAAATACAGAGTTTATTATACTGAATTATAAATTTTTTGTTAAAATATCTGCCTCCCTCACTGGTCTGTAGCAATTACTGTTGTGCCATATTATCAACATTTAATTTAATCTGAATGCACATCCATATAACTACCTTTAAATAACACTAGAATCACTTCATGAAATAGATATTTCTGATTTATTATATGGCTTTGGATATATTTGCAGATAGCAGCATAATACATAATAACAGCTCACTTGAAGGTAGGACAAATGTTGCTGTCCCACTCAGCCCAGTACAGTACCTGGCATGTTGTGGATGCTCAATCAATACTAGACAGCTTAGACAGATGCATGTACTCACACATAAATCCATGGATGGGCGTGTCCTTCCATCTGGATGGCTGGATGGATGGATGGATGGATGGATGGATGGATGGAAGAAAGATATGGCACTGAAGAAAAAAAATCTTTGTAAGCTCATATCATGGCTTTCTCGCCAAGCTTCAGTACCTACACATAGACTAACACTTTCCCCATAATTCTCCTCTCTACATGAGGATACATCTAATTGAGTAGGGAGAGGGAGGATGACCTATCTCTTCTTTCTAGTCTTCATTATTTGGTCCTTAGCACAAGGACACATCTGTCATGCAAACAGAAAGAATTACTATAATTATTACAGTTAGTCCCTGATTATCTAAAAACCTAGTAGTTCAGGAGAGTCAATAACTATAAGAAATCTAAACATTGTAAAGACCTTTTCATTGTAAAACCGCATCTTAGTATTTTCGTTTTGGTCTCAAAGAATGTTCACTAGGAAGAGACCTCAAGCAATCTAGTCCAACACCTTCATATCTTTTCTTTTCTTTTCTTTTTTAGGTGAGGCAACTTTATTTTTTACACCTACAGCATCTGGTCTTCCTAGGGGATCTCCTATCCAAGTACTAACCAGACCCGACCTTGCTTAGCTTCTGAGATCAGACAGGATCGGGCTTGTTCAGGGTGGCATGGCTATAGACCCAACACCTTCATTTCAAGAACTGAGAAACTAATGTCAGAGAGATGAAGCCCCTTCGTCAAATTCACTTAACTAATCCATGGCTGAACAAGGTTTCATCCCTGGTCTGCTGAGTTTCTGTTTACTGCTGTTCCCACTAGGTTTGGAAAGGATTCAGATTCAATGTCTTCATATTACAAAATGGAACATCTAGAACTCAGACAAGAATCGACTTACCCAAAGTCATAGAGGCACGAGGATTTGAGTATATAATGAAATTTAACGGTCAAAATTGTTAGTGGTGCCAAAATGTTTCTTTTTAATTAATGCATCAAAAGTCACTGATGAAGACAGCAAAAGTTAAGGTCCTATTGAAGAAGAAGTAGCAATTTAGAAAATATTTGATTCAAAAGTTAATTTATGAGCAAAATAATATTCATGTTACACTTCTATATACCCCCGCCCCCCCCAAAAAAAGCAAAGATTAAGAGGTCAGACTATTATGACCTTATTCACAAAATAAATATCAAAGTGTGTTCTGGCTGGAGTCAGTGGAATTTCAACTTAAAAACAAAAGCCTTCTACAACAAGAGAATGGCCCTGTGGTCGGTAATAATACTGATCCTAGTAACACATACAAAAAATAATGCATTCATTATAGCATCTTTTGTGCATCATAAATGGTTAAACAGCATCTTTCCAAAATTATTAAAACGAAGTACTTGTTGTTTTAAAAGTCAAGCTTTAATTCTCCTCAAATTTACATTATCTAAAATACTTCATTGCTAAATTTGCCAAATAACTAAAAAATGATCAAATTCATACACTGATGCATGTGCAATATTCAAATAAATGATAGCAAAGCACTATCAAGATAAAAAAAGAAAAAGCTCAGCTTATTCTGTTCCTGAGAATAAATACATAGTTAAGGGTGAAACTACACAATATATCAATGATATATTTCTTAGACTACAACAGTGCATTACTAATTATCAATAATTTGGATACTTTTTGAAAAAGTACCATTATACAGACGCTATTTATGAAATGGATTTAGCCATAAAATTGAATGATCTTTTTTATACTATTCAGTCATTGCTATTACACAGACAGTTTAAAAATTATATAGATGTTGCTTATCTCTTTCAAGCCATGATCACAATTTCTCTGCATTTAGCCTATGGTTGATCTGTAGACGTAAAGATTTGGACAAAGAGAAAATATTTCACTATGGTGATTTTGTATTTGTTGAAATCTTTTCACAGCTATTATGTCTTTTCTATATATAAGGAGACCCAGAGAAAGTAAGGGATTTGCCTAAAACAATACAACCTTTAGCTGCAGAACCAAACAGAATTTAGGATTCTTGATTCTAGCCCCAAAGGTAAGAGGCATTTTGAGGAAGGGGAAGCATCACTGGGCTAAGACTTGGTTTTCAGCCCTGGCCATGCTTCACCTCCCTAGGACTCAGCTTTCTCCTCCCAAAAGAGCTACTGCGCGGTGGTGGCAGCGACTGCTATAAGGTTATTGGAGCATACTGAGCCCTCGCTCTGTGCCAGACGCACTTTACCGCTTACACGGCAGCTGCTGCCCAGGAAATGCTCAGGCTCCACAGCCAGGCAGGTACAACTTTAGATGGCAGCTCCATCACCATCTGTTTCCCTGGGCAAACTAACTTCGCCGCACCTCACCTGAGATGGGAGTAATCATAATTTCCAGTTCATAAAATGGTTGCAAAACTTAAAGAAGATAGTGCATGCAAACAGAGCGCTGTTTCTGGTACATAGTTATGTTCAGTAAATATGAGCTAATCTCATCTTGCTTTGTTCTCTTCTGTTATTAATACTAATAGTAGAATGGGGTCTGAAACTGAATAGCCTCTAAGGATCCTCCTTGTTCTGTCTGCCCCCACGATCCCACTCTGGGAATAATATCATTTTCATTAAATTCCTCCCATAGTCATGAGTACCTGTACATGGCTAATTTCGCGGCCGGTGACCCATCATCAAAACCATGATGAATTATTTTAAATTAGTCAGGATTTAAATGATTTCTCAACATACTCAGAAAAACAGTGGAAATTCGGACGAAAAGTTTCTATTTCCATTTTAGCGTATCGGTGATTTTTTAAAAAGATTCCTCGTTGAGTAGTATTCCGTTGAAAGTTGTCTGAAAAGACAAATTTGGGGCATGCTGGGATTATGGGGGCATGCTGTTTGAGACTCTTTATTTCGAGGAACTATTAATTAAACTGCAAACTCTTTTTAAAGGTTTCAGAGGTAAGACTGGACCACTGGGCCTGGCTGGAGAGAAAGGGGACCAAGGAGAAACTGGGAAGAAAGGACCCATGGGCCCCGAGGGGGAGAAAGGAGAAGTAGGTCCAGCTGGGCCTCCAGGACCAAAGGGAGACAGAGGAGAGCAAGGGGACCCAGGGCTGCCTGGAGTTTGCAGATGTGGAAGCATCGTGCTCAAATCTGCCTTTTCTGTGGGCATCACGACCAGTTACCCAGAAGAAAGGCTACCAATCATATTTAACAAGATCCTCTTCAATGAGGGTGAGCACTACAACCCAGCGACGGGGAAGTTCATCTGTGCCTTCCCGGGGATCTATTATTTTTCTTACGATATCACATTGGCAAACAAACACCTGGCAATTGGGCTGGTACACAACGGGCAGTACCGGATAAAGACCTTCGACGCCAACACGGGGAACCATGACGTGGCTTCAGGGTCCACGGTCATCTATCTGCAGCCGGAAGATGAAGTCTGGCTGGAGATCTTCTTCACTGACCAGAACGGCCTCTTCTCAGATCCCGGTTGGGCAGACAGCCTGTTCTCCGGATTCCTCCTATATGTTGACACAGATTATCTAGATTCCATATCAGAAGATGACGAGCTGTGATCGGGACCGCTGACTGGTTCCAAGATCCTCGTGGGAGATACTTTGATTTCATCTGGGGCCCCGGAAGGTGGAGCAAGAAGTAACAAGACCCAAAGAGACTCCCACTCAGAATCCAGAGCGTTTGCAAACGGCTCTAGCAGAATCCATTAAAACAAGATGAACCACCAAAATGTTCGAACCACAACAAAATGAATTATATAAAACAATAACCCCAGATATGAATTCTCTTGAAAGCAATGTTCATAAATATTTAAACAAATTCAAGACAATGTTAACAAATTTTCTATTAAATTCCCTTAGTGATAAAACCAGCTGGCAATGATATTGTCTCATTAAATCTTTATAAAATTACATTTTTTGCCTGTTATTTAAGAGAATCATAACATCCCAGAAATGTCTTCGACAATTCTCAAAAGGCTATAATTAGTCAAAAGCCAAAGGTAAGAGATGCTGAGTAATTTCAAGAATGCTAAAGTGAAGTGATAATGTTCTGTTTTATTATTTATTTCTTTGTGCTTGTATATATTTACTCAACAACTCTTTAATAAGCCTGTATAAACCAGATATTATGATGCCGGCTCAGATCTAATAATAAGTTAAGACAAAATCCCTGCCTCATACAGACTAGCGTGTGATGAGCATACTGTCACAGTTCAGTGTGATAAGCATCAAGGCAAACAGACTGACTCGATGGGGCCCAGAGAAAACACGGAGAAACGTTAGGTGCACTAGGATGTGTGTGTTTAAGAAGGTGGAAGGAATGTGAAGAAAACAAGGAACTCAGCCATGGCGTTCTCCTCGTCCCATCCTCGGAACACCACTGGTATCTGCAGTCAGGAAGGGGTGAAAACCCTGGAGATAGAGGATGCCTGGAAGCGGGTAACGGGGCTGAAGAGAAACGAGCTACCGAGATCAGCCAGGAGGTCGTTCTCTGAAACCCTGCAGCATGATAGCTTCCCAAGACAAATATCTGTCCTCTTCGCTTTCTCACAACTAAGGGGATTACTTTACATCGTGGTTAAGACATATATCTCGTGGGTTTCCCAGGTATTGAATTCAAATAAAGCAAAGCATATGCCCACTGATTTCTGAGTGAGCTGATGGGAGGAGTGAATAGGAGGAAGAGAGTCCAGACGTCTGAGCAACTAGCTGTTCCTTCCAAGTCTCACACCTCCCTTAGTCGCATCCTCTGCTAGGGTCAGCTTCTTGTTCCCCACTGAACTGCCATTCCTCACTGAGTGTCACCCAGCGTTCTATCATCTGCCGCTCCCTTGGCTTATAGTAATAGTACTTCTTTATTCTCCCTTTTGGTATCTTCTACTCCTCCGTCCACGCATTCCTCCCTCTGCTCATTCATTTAATCAATATTTTTAATGCTTCCCATGTGTGAATCGCCCCGGCGGGTTCTGTGAAGGTGGAGGACGTCAAGCCAGCATGGCACAGGCGCTGCCATGAACTTTCCAAGGAGACAGAGGAGGAAATGACATGCACACACACGCAAAATACCTAGAATTCTGGAGCCGGACATGCTCAAATATGCTAAGCGCTCAATTGGAGATAAAGACAAAATGTCATGAAAGGAATGCTGAGGGGCAAAGTGTTGACTCCCACAGTAAGGAATGAGAGAAGGGAGCTGGGGAGATCTCTGTTCTCTGGGCCTGGAGCGATGGACAGGACTCGGAGGGGCCGAGGCGGAGGAAAGAGCACTCCAGAGGAGATACGGAACCAAGTATGAAAATAGAAACGGAGACTCAGAAAAGAAATCCATGGGCCACATTTGCAAGAGCCCTGAATGTCAGCCTGAGGATCGGGGACCTTAATGCTGAGAAAGCATGGAGCCCTGGGTGTGTCCGAGCTGAGTACGGCCATGGTCAGAGGTGAGATTCACAATTATCGAGCAGCTGCATGTAACGGCAAGGCTTGTTTCTCCCATCTTCCAGACCTACCTCGCTTCCATCATCTGCCTCTGGCCCCTATCCTTTGTCTACTGGTTCCTCTCTTTCCGAGTTAAGATATGGGTCTGACAGACCAAGGGCAATGAACATTAGACAAAAAGAGCAAAGGTGGTTTGAGATAATCACCTGCCTCTGGATAACAGCTGAACCTGGAATTCCAACCTATAAAGTGTACAAAACAGCCAACAGAAGAAGCTAATCTGGGGACCATGAAAAATATGGGCCCTTTGAAGACTGTGGGATTTACTGGAGAAACTGGAAATGGAGAAGTTTTTGTAGATAGTCATGACCCACAAGATTATTATGTAATTTAAATTTTCTTCTGATCATGATCCTTTAATTCATTCATTTGGGAGACATTGCTTACTTGCTTATATTTTAAATGTTTCTTTCATTCAAAAGCCTTTGTTAAGTAGCTTTTTAAACTAAAATTTCTTTAGCTGTTTGTAGGCCCAGAGATGAATTTTATTTTGAAATATCTGGTGAGATGGTGGTGGGGATTAGGAGCTAAAGTGGAAAACAAAAGGTTATTTTAGTATTAAAAAAGATAAACTTTTAAGCAAGTGCAAGTGTCTTTTATTTCTGGAAAAAAAAAAGACAGATACGATTTATCTACACTTACGTATATTTGTGTAAATAAAGTAGACGAGCAATTTTGGTTTAAAAAAATCCGAGTCTCGTTCCAATCATTTTTCGTAAGGGCTGACTTGGAAGGAATACGTATTAAGAAATATTCATTGAGTAGATACCATCTCATTCCAGAAGGATCTGAAGCCACTTCCAAAGATAAATAAAATACAGAAAGAACACAGTAGTCAGAAGCAAGCGAGAATAAAAGAGCAAATCAAACAAACAAAATAGGCAAGAGCGAGGCTAACGCAAAACTGCCCCCACCCGCACACGTGGGTGCCTGTGCTACGCACTTACGGGACACACGTGAGACCTTGTACCTGCGCACGCAAAGGGCATCCCCCGGTCATTTATCAATACAAAGCATGTTGTTTATGGTGAAAAAATGATGCCATAAACTCTGAATATACTTTTTCTCTGCCACTCTGAAAAAGATTGTGAACATAAATACATTTGAGATGTCAGCTATTTGTTGTCTTATACCTTCCTCTCTCTCACCTCTGGAGTTCCTCTTGTAAAGGACATCCTACGCACCCCGTCCCCAAAGCCAAAATCTACCACACATTCTAGATGTCTTCCTTCTCTTCTCCACTGAATTTTGTTCGGCATAAAATTCTTAGGGTTCTAGCCTTTACGTGTAAATTTCATTGCACGTTTCCGTCCCAATGTCAAGGTTTGTTCCTATACTCACCATCACTTCTAATAGGAACTTTTTAGCTGAGCCTTTGCCTTCAGCCACAACCCTCCAATCTGTCCTCCAAATTAGTTTGAATCTGTCCTTCTAAAATAGTAATCTGGTCATGTCAGTCCATGGCTTAAAAGCCAGCAGTGGCCCTCTAACTCCTACAATATAAAAGGTGTCTTGAACTTCTTCGGCCTTATCTAGCATGCATTCCATATCCTTTTTCTAGCATGCATATTCAATTTCCTTCTGAAGGACCAGCCTCGCTTACATGCTAAGTCTTTGAGCTTCTACGTAGAATTGGCTCCTGCAATAGGCAAATCTCAGACCTGATTGGCCAGAGCACAGCATTCCACTTACCAAAATAATTAAGTCAGATGACTCAGTCAGAGCTCGTGAGACTTTGCTGGGACCCGTATGGAAGAGCATCTTATTCTTTTCTACTGGGCTTGAGCCTGTGGGCCTCTATCGACCATTGTACCGTCACAAAGCATAAAGAGCATCTTATTCTTTTCTACTGGGCTTGAGCCTCTATCGACCATTGTACCATCACAAAGCATGATACTATGTGAGAATGGAGCTGATCATAGGTGCAGCAAAGAAACAGAGGTAAAAAGAAAAAAATAGATCTTTGAGTCTTCATCTGAACCCTGATCCAGACATGTCTATAGCCAGCTCTTCCTCTGGACTTTTCAGTTACGGTAGCCATAAAATGCCATTTTTACTTAAGCTTTGTTAAAGGCGAGTGTTTGGTCACTTGTAAAGATGTTACGCTACCTAATATTAATATGAGCACCCTTTAGCAAAGCACATTAGGCCCTTTCGGATCTATCATCTGCTTACCTTTATAGGCACATCACCAAAAGCACCCACATGCAGCCTATAATCCGAGCACATGCAGATAACAGCGGTCCTGGGATGCCCGGCCCTCGCCCGCCTCCGACCCTCCACACGTGCTGTTTCGTTTGCTCAGAACGCCATTGCTGTCCTTGTCTGCCTGACTAGCTCATCCTCCAAGGCTCAGCTCAAAAGTTACTTTCTTTTCTCTAATCTTTCTCTTCCCTTGCGCCCAACAGGAACTGCAGGCGACCTCATGTGTCTTCCTTACCACCTGGGAACTTGTGCATAGTTACAGTAGCAACAGTGAACACTTTCTGAGCGCTAGTTCAAGTGCTTTACATGTAATAGCTCACTCTGGTCTTCACGATCATTATTCTCTCCATTTTACAGATGAGGAAACTGAGAGATGGACAGGTTAAGAAATGTGTCGAGTAAATAGTAAGTGGCACAGGGGACCCAAGGAGTCGGGCTCCAGAGTTCACCCTCCTGATCATCACGCTGAGTCCTTATCCCAGTTCACATTCATCTTTCAGTATCGCCATCATTGCATTGCTCATATGGTCCTACGTTTTTCCATCTGATGGAGATTTTGTCCTATTTATCTTTATATTCCAGGACTGTAGACAATGTCTGCCATCATATGTGCTCCATAAAAGTGTGATAAATTAGTCAATGACAGGTCTTTTCAGTCACAATTTTTACATGTAGAAAGAGAGAGAGAGAGAGAGTTCACAACTGAAAAGCCTTGTGAATATCCTGTGGATTCATCGAGACTTTAGATTACAACTGCCAGAATCCAACTCCAACTGGCTCAAGAAAAAGGGGACTCACTGAAATAAAAGAAAATTCTAGAGCCAGATCTGGGCACTCATTCATTGTCACCAGGATTTTCTCTCTCCCATCAAGGATTTCCGTTCCCCACTGCACAGTTCATTTTCAAGCAGGCTCTTGTCTTTGTGGCAAACATAGCCATATATATATACATTTCTCTTTCACAATAGTCCCAGCAAAAGAGCTGGGATGACAGCTTTTTGATTCTGATTGGTCCTGCTTGAAGTATGGGCCAATCCCTCAGTCAATAATTGGCCAAAGGGATGTGCTTTTCTCATTGGCCACGCCTATATCACATGCCTACCACTAGAACTAGGAACAGAATCAGTCGCACCTGAACCACTGGATTGTTCTCCTAAGGAAAATAAAGGTGCCGAGTCTACAAAAAGAGAGCTTGGTTGATGGACAGTCAAAGGCAACAGGTGACCTCTCCAGGCTGTCTCCATGCAAAATCAAAACCACATTTACATTGTCCGCACGATGCAAAATAAATGTGTTGCTAAGATCATTTTTATCTGAGACAATCTAACATATACAATATTTGTTTAGAATGGACTAAATATTTTATACTACACGAGCCTGGCGTTTGTGGTGATCTCACGCTACTGACTATCATAATGCTGGCTCCCTATCGACACTTTTCATGAAAGAACGTCTTATGCTCAATTAAAATACTTCTTCCCCCCAACCTTCTAATTGTTGATATCAGTACCCTAGACTGTGCAACAATCCGGGCAATTGCGTTTGATTATT